TTTCTACTGACGGTAATGCTGACGTCTCAGCGGATTCCGCCTTCCTCAGAACACGGAAAGGTCAAGTCGACCGCCATCTACCCGCCCAAACACCTCCGTAACCAGACAGAGGTTATTAGACCAACATTTTTACGTTCCTATGTTTATTTGCTTCTGTTGTTGTCTGTCTATATTTGGTTATTTCATTTTCATTATATAACCTAACATATGTTTCATAGTGTGCAGGTCCCAGTACTCATCGCATTCCTCGAATCCACAAGCGCCTTCGAACCTTCGTGCGTGGGTTTGGCTGCTGTTTGAGGATTTTTTCGCCTTTGTTACAAATGTCGCTGAATGCTGGTCAAGTCAATTCTCCATGGACTCCCAAGATAGCCGTGGTGGGCGTTCGCACATAGATTTGAAGGGGTGAGCTTGTCCCAGACAAGTTTTATACCAATCTTTCGACCCCGGATTGATGAAAGCCTTGGTGAGCCACTAGGGTAGAATCAGCGCACGGGTGGGTATTTGTACATATATATGTATTCATGTAATACGTGCATAATATAATACGTTGCATACTGCGTAGGTAGATACTATATGATGTAGGTATTAAAGAAAGTCGAAAACCTGGAATGGACATAAGGTGGCTTCCAATCCCAGTAGAAATCCTTCGACCCTACGTGTTCAGTCCTGATTTTCTTAACGCAATACGAAACTCTGTAGAAGTTTACAAAGTCATCTAAAGATGAAATAAACGTAGTTGTGTCGATGAACTTCGCGATGAAAATTCCGCTCTGTGCTTCATCGCCAAATTGTTCTGAAGATGTTCGCAAATGCGGGCCATTTTTAGCCCGACATGGACTGTGCTGGAGGACTGGGAGAAGTCAGCTGTGCTCATGTTCATTCAGGTGTGGAACAAACGAAAACTGCAGGCACCATTTTGCTTTGAAACATTGCATGAAGAAGTCATTTTGTGGCTACTCTGTGGTTTCTTAAGCCATAAATCTTCAAGCATTCCTGTGGATTCATATTATATCCAGAGACATCAAATGACACAGAGCCACTCCGTGATGTGTCTCAAGCGCATTCATCAAAAAGCAAACCGATGTCGAAAGAGAAGCTTTATGAGTGTATTAAGATGAGACGTGTAAGCATCCTGATATATCCTGTTCTTTAGCTTGTATGTGGTTTTCTACTGGGTGTAGGTTTTTTTACTGTTCAGAAATTGCGACAGCGTTTGGAGGAGCTCGGGCAACGTGAGGTGTCGTTTGAAGATGACTCGAAGGAACTGTTCTACATTAAAAATGAGGAGAAGGTATGTTGAGTCTTTTACTTAGCCTGAGGATTTACTTAGCCTACTAGTTTTCAAAAAAGAAGATTAACACAGAATTTTGGGTGGATGGGTATTAAGTCGCATGTTTCGTTCCAGATAAAAAAGTCTATCGTTGGAATAGAGAAAATACTGTACGAGAATGGTCTATTGAGGGAGCTTGATGACGATCTACAAACATTGTAAATCTATTCACGATTCGTGTTACCTTAGTGTTTCATATTTCTGTGCGAAAACGTCACACCTATTTAGTCACTCAAAGACGTCTCAGGTTGAACTAGCTATGCTGGATACTGGAAATGAGCTTCTCAATCGAAAACTCATGGAGTTCATCGAAAAGCAGACCAGTCCAGTGTTCATGTGATTCTTTCATTACATTCTTTGCCTATTGTAGCTTCTTTTAGGGCGTTTCTTACTTGTAACCGCGTTGAAATTGCCAACTTTTTGTCTTTAGCCCGCCTTCTTTGGAAGAATTGAGCAGAATTATGCATGAAGTCCGCAACCAGGAAGGAGATTCGTCCAATATTCCTGATCCGGAGCTTGACAGTGGAGCGTTTTGTAAGCTTTGTTTTCTTTTCTTGCTGTTACAAGTGAGTTTACTAACTGTTTGGTTGCAATTCCATGCTTGTTTTTTTTTGTTATTTTCCAAAATCCCGCCATCTAGAGTAACTCTGGAGACACCCACAAAGGAGCTGAAAAAAGCAGTGATAGTAGTTTTTTAATAATTATGTCAACGATGTGCTTACTACACCGCTTTTCGTGAATGTGTTTCGTTTTCGTTTATGAACTTCTACTGTAGCCGTTAAAAAGACGTGTGTGGCGCAATGTTCGAAGGCGCCTTCAATACGCGTAGGATCGATTCCCGTGTCCTTGGAGCCTACCAAGCCTTCCATCTCTTCGGGGTGATCAAATTGGTGCTAGACTTGTCTGGGAGGATAGCACCATTTTCTCGATACCGCGATAGGCCACGGCGAATCGATGTCAAGGTCAGATATGCGTTCAATCACCTCCAAACGGTGCTTAACAAAGTCGAATATATGGCGCATCCCTAAGGGATTGATCAACGCCGAGAGCTTAATTCCTTATTTTATTTACTGTAGCCGTTTTACTTGAAACTATTCTGTTGCTTTTAGTGAACAAAGTCGAGAATGTCACTTTAATGGTTGCTCGTAGTCATCAGAAATTCGTTAGCGGGCAATTTCTAAATCACTTGGATTTCTATGTGCCCGAAGCAGGTATCATGGTACTCATTTGGTTTCTGCGGCATAGTCTTCGATTTGTTCACTTGCATGTTCTCCTATTCGAATTTCTTATAGAACGTGAACAATGTTCCGCACTTCCTGAGATTGGCCCAGACTTGCAGAAGCTCCTCACTGCTGACTCAGTTCTCCATAATCTTTCAGACGAAATTTTCCAAATGGTGTGTCGTGATGAATCAATTTGAGGCTCCATACATTGCACATATGTATACATATATGTACATATGTATATACATATATGTATATATGTATCTGCAGGAAGTGCGAACAGCTGGAAGATTGGAACAATATGAGCAAAATGCAGTTTGTTCTGGCGAAGCGATTGACATAACTAACGAGTGTATTTCTGGTATCGATGAAGATGAAGATGAGGATGAGTATGAAAAGGAAGATGAAGATGAAGATCAAGATGAGGATGAAGATGAAGATGTCAGTGACGAGAAGGAAGGCAGAGGAGAATCGTTTAATGGAAGTGTTGCTTCTGTAAGTCAGTATAGTAGTAATTTTCATATTAATAACATTGGACTAATGACTAGTTTTACTGGCATGTTCTACTCCTATTAAGCAAGTGAACTGCACATCTACACCTCCTGTTCATTTCGAATCGCGTGACAAATTGAGCGCGGATGCTACGGTTCGTACAAAAAAGGTGGGCCGTTTCATATCTGTGCTGTGTTTATCAAGTTTTCAGAGATTTTTTTAAAATATAAGCACATCTAGAGGATAGTGTGAGGAAATATAGTCACACAGGTTCTGAAGCGAGTTTCGGAAGATCCGGAAAGTGTGGCGAAGAAGGTTGCCATTGATGTTCCTGAGGAAGATAGTTGTAAAAATCCTAGTGTGGATCCTATATCAACGTTCAAATCATGTGATGAGAAAACAATTGCAAGGCCAACTTCGGCGTGTGCTGGAAATCCAGAGGGAGGTGATAATGCTGAGGTGGAACGCAAAGGAATAACAGATAGTGAGTTGGATGAATTCTTGATCGGTGATGACCTCGTCTTTCTGTTCTCTTTCTTTGTTTTAACTGCATCGATGATGAGTTGTTTTACTCAGTGTTTTAGCATGCCGAGGAAGCCAACCACAAGTTGATCACTTCCAAAACGAAAATCACAGCAGAATGAATGTGGAGTCGAGGGCGATAGACATAATATATATTGATGATTAAAATGTCAAGTAGAATATGAGAGTCTACCGCGGCCCTAATAGCCTTCAAACAGCACGCCTTATCATACGCACTGATTCCTTATATTTCTGCCGGAGGCGGAGAAATCTGAAAACTGCTTGGCGAATATTTGATGGTCTGGAATCTCATCTCTTAACTTTCGATACCACTTGTACTTATGAATTGCACCCGTTTCGTACTTACGAATCATCGCTTATCCATATTGATTTTTGTGTTGATGTGTATACGATGATGTATAAACCGTTTCGACCTCAGTCGTCCACAACATTAGGGTAACGGTCTCGAAATTATCTCTCACTTTACAAACCACTGTCACAGACACATGCTCGTATCGGTATTTTGGGGTGTTATTTTACTTCTTTCTTTACGAGCAAGGTGACGTTTCGGTGGATTTCACCTTCCTCAGAGCCTGGAAAAGTCAAGTTGACCGCAATCTACATAACCAAACACTTCCATAACCAAACAGAAAACGACTGTTTGACTAGGTGGATTGCGGTCAACTTGACTTTTCGGGCTTTAACGAAGGCGAAATCCGCCGAAACGTCAGCTTGCTCGTAGAGAGAAGAACAAAGTAACACCTCGTCTTTGCTCAACAAAAATATAGAGAATTCCTAGATCAATGCCGTGGTTAATAAAAGTCGGTTGTGGAAATTTTCAGAAATCTTTCTCCTATCTAATGTAAATTTTCCAGCTACTATAAAGTCTAACATAGTTACGTTCTTATTTGCTTGCTCCTGCTAGTCTTCACAATGAATTTCTTTGCGCTGTCTGGTTATATGACGTTTCCTGTCCACATCCAAACAAATGTTCTGATTTGCCATATTCATATGGAGGGTGAGGTTTTTGTGTGACTTCTTTCTTTTAGTGGGATTGAGCCGAATCCAAAATCCTCAGACACCATTTCTCGGGTATACACCGAGGAAGACTTTTGCGCCCTTGGGCTCATTGAGAATTCGTTAGTTTGTGGTTATCAGAGTTAGTTGCTAGAGTATGTGGTTGTGAAATTTCAACGTCACGATCTAATCCGCTCAGTGAGAACCATTAAGGTACCTGAATTGCTTGAAAAGGTGGAAAATTAGTTGCTTTCACCTAAGTCATTTTTTGTAGGAGAATGACCGCCACTAAAGCAAAGAATTCTGTCCGTGAAATAGACTCGCAGTAGTTTTTTCTAATTCTTCGCTTCTGCTTATAAATGTTTCGAAGTGGGCATATTTATTTCTTTACAGGTACGGATTACTAAGTGGCGATGTTACTGAGGAGTCATCGCTATGTCTGTGGAAGTTTCCAGCAGACACGGTTATTCTTTGCTCGACATGTCTACGAGCCTCGTCTTGTAGTGAGGTATCCAGAAGGACAAAGCAGTAAGTATACTTATATACTTGCATGGCCCGTCCTCACTGGTTGTGCGGGCTCCAGCATAATCACCATTTTTTTTTGAGTTTTGCTGTCTAGCCATTGTGGTTCCTTGGAGTCCTGAGATCAGCTAAGCCAAAGTCTGCCCAGGTCGTCACCACTACAGGCGCCGCCATTGTGGATCAAAGGAAGATTCGCCACCATGGGACCAGTTTGATACCAGCACGGTGGTGGTTTCCAACATTAGTTTACTCTTAGCTGGGCTTCCTGATGGAAATGCCGGACTCCTCAGCTTGGGAGACCCTGCCGGGCGGATGAATTCCTCTCCTCTATTGTACATCGCCGTCCGACACCCAAGAACACCTCCCAGCCACGATAGGGCGGTAAACCGTTAGGAGGAAGCAGTAAGTATGATGAACACATTTCAGTGGATTTCTTTCGACTACTACTTATAGTACCATTAATCCTATTAATTGGCGAGTAAGGAGAGATAGAACAACTTGGATCTCTTTCCATCTCTATTGTTCACCAGCTGTAAACACAAAGACTATCACAATGGAGATGGGTAGCTTGCTGGCATAGACTTCTACTTATTCGAATAGGCTTCCAGATGGAGATATCGAACTTCTCAGTCTGAATTGCTCTGTTGATAGTTCTACCCATGCTTCACTTTCAAGTTGGTTACTTAGGACACACTCCGATCGTCTGCCTTACCCCGTTGCCATGGTGAGGTGACAAAAGAGACAGTCCATTAGTACTTGTACTAACACCATTTTTGAAAATATAATTTTCATTTGCAGAAGAATCGCCATTTGTTGATCTACGAAAGCCTGTAGTCTTGCTGATTGGATGGGCTGGTGCAGAACATGAACACTTGGCGAAATATAGCGCTATTTACACAGATCAAGGGTGGGTAAATTCATTTCTGTGTTATTTTTCAATCATGGCTTTTTCATGTCATATAAGTACATTGAGATGTTAATCGGCAACCACGTCTAATTTTAACTCTAATATAGGACGGTGCAAGTTTTCCTCCACCTCAATAAGTGACTGACTTCTAACCGTCAAACAGTCAGGTCGTGTTGCTTACTCCCGTGTTTTTCGTTCTACAGTCCGGCCTTTCCATATATTCTCCACTTATTCCTGTACCTCTTCCTTAATGTTCTGCACATCGTCTCGGTTTTTCTATATGTTCCTCAATGATTTTCTGGAGATTTCCACTCCTTGTGTTTAATAAGGAAAAATTTGTTCACCGTCCAACCGCGGCGCTACTTGCTGGTCGTTTCCACTGCATATGTTGTGTATATTCCGGTGCTTACAATTATTATTTGTATTTACACAATCCTTAAAGTAATCAGGGTTCATAGTTTCCAGTTGGATGGGTCGAACGAGCAATTGTTGTTTAGAAGTAGTTTTATAGGTTTGTATTATGTAGATGGAAGACGAATCAAACGTTTATTTGCCATCGGCTACTCTCCGAGAATGAACAGGGACAAGTTGAAGGCCCTGGGGTCAGCAAGAGCTTTTTTTTCCTCCTTGTCGAAGAGTCTGAAGAAAGTGAATTGGAGATTGAGTAGGGAGATGGTAATGATGCGAACAGTGGTTATTCTTGAAAACATCTTGGTGTCTTATGAAACCTGAGTCATCGGCTGCAGTCAGCTTGAAATAGACAAACTGTATCTTTTTGAACACGCGTTTGGTATCTTGTTAGTTGTAAGAGACCAACAAATACGCTCAGGAACTACTCGGGAAATAAATTATTGAAAGAATGAAAAATCCATAGGTCTCCATGAAAATCTTTGCCTTTCAGGTGGAAATTGTTAGATTACTGTGCTTGGTGGATTTTTACAGTTTCCGTTCTGTTTTCTGAATTCTATTTCAAGTCCAAAATAATGGAAAGACAGAGTTCTGAGCAGTTATTTTCTCGTCTTCACTTGACTGAGAATGCAACCACAGGAGATGTAGTATAAAATTAGTCCATTCATTGAACTTGTCGGTAAAACTTGTTAGAGGCCGAGTTATGGGGCTTTTGACGGGCTTCTTTCATGAATGGAGTCATTTTTATACCGATGATCGGCATACCAGGGCGTTATTTGCCAAGGACTTACTGCAAACAGACCACAGACACACAGAGCACGGCCAATTTGATTCACGTAAAGTAAGAACGCTTCCCAATCGTTACCGCCTCATCGTCGCTGGGTGGTGTTTCTGGGTGTCAGGCTGCGAGGTACAGAAGGGTATTCATTCCCCCGGCAAGGTTTCCCAAGCTGAGAAAGAGTCCAACGTTGCTTTCAGGAAGCCCCGCTTAGAGTAAACCAATACACCACCGTCCTGGTATCAAACTAGTTGCGTGATAGCAATTCTTCCTTTGATCCACGAGGGCGGCCGCTGCCTGGGGTGGTGACGACCTAGGACAGATTTTGTCCAGGCTTCCTCAGAACTCCAGGGAACCACAACAGCTAAACCACCAAAACTCCGAAAAAGTGGAAGTTTTGCTAGGGCGCGCACAACCAGTGAGGACGTGCCATCCAAATAAGTAAAATAAGATCGGGAAAGATCATCATGCCGAAGCTAGAGGGGACTGACAGGCCAACAGAATAAAAGCGGCATAGTTATGCTCAGCTGGAATGAAAAAGGGATCATATTGAGGGTCCATTTCTCCATTTGCCGACGAAATTGCCATCTTTTTAACATCAATCAAAGAAGTTTATGCCAAAAAAAAATCTTGTGACATGAGTAATGAGGGTACGACTGTGAATTAGGAGTCAAACGGAAGAAAGATAAAAAATCAGCAGATCACTGCTAGGTCCTGAATTGTCCTCAATTGCAGCTACCGGACAGTGTCCTTCATTGCTCCTTGTTATCACTATACTATACCCAATGCTCGTAATGGCTTCTACTTATCACCGATTTTCAGAGGAATCAGTGCAAAGCCTGGAAATTTTGAAAGCTTTAAAGATTGGTGGGTACATTTTATCTCTTCTGTAGCTTTTCATTTATAAATCGTCTTTGTTCTTCTTGTTAATTCATCAGTACTTTTCTTTTTTCAATGTCTTTCCTAGTTCTTTCAAGTGTCATAGTAAAAACCTTTTTGGATGTAGTTTTGACTAATTTTTGTGCCATATGCTCTGCCGTTTAGGTTTTTATAGCGCTTATTTCTTTTTTCGTTTATGTGTTTGTTTGTTGTGACACTTTTCCCACTCATGTTTAAAAAAATGGGTCACCTTTTTCGACATATTCACATGGTTTTTCGCTTGAGGTCCAACATTGTTGTGTTTTGAACACCATGTTAACATTTCCGCGCCTTAGTCTCAAGATTAATTAATATTATGGCTATCAATCTTTAGTAATCACCGTCTTTATTTCTTGAATATTGGTCATATTTAGTGCATTAGTCTGTCACGTATTCTCAATGAATGGGGTCCGGACGTTGATTTCGTTGTGGAAATGGACAGAGGCCGAACAAATGTTGCATTTGCGGCAACGACTGAAGGGTATCATTTTCGACAGGTTTGTAGCTATCAGATTCATTTAGTTGTTAGATGTGCCTTTCAGTGCACATGACCCTTGATTCAGTTTTGCGCCTGGGGTTAACCAAAGCCCATTATACCAAGATAGCGAATTTCGGGTCAGTTTTACATGGGAGGAAAAAAACACTGGCTTGATAAATCGGTAGGCTCCCGAAAGTCTTTCATTATGTAGGCCAAATATTCATTCATTGACTTTTACCATACTTAATGGAGTTGGATGCATGACGCATCTCGACGAGATTGTTCAACGGAAGCGCTTTCTTCCTTCTATGAAGAATTCACTCGAGGTCATCTTTTTACCGAAACTACCCATTTCAGTGCTCCATCTCGAACATCTGCTGGTCCTGACTCATATGCCGTTGTGTCCTCAACACCACCCATAGAGGGATTACAATGGATTAAAACTGAGACTAGACGGAAATTTATTATGACTGCTTTCAATATCAGGAAAGCATTGGTAGGTGCTTGTTTCTCAATCGTTCTTTTATCGGGAAATCCTCGATATTTACTGCTTCCTAATGTGTTTTGCTCCATGATGTATAGAGAATACGCCTCGCTTTTCTTATTGGCGAGGCTACCATTTTGAGAAGAAAACTCGATTTCTTTGAATTGAAAACTTTTGAGTTGAAATAGGGTGATCTTATTTGCTTAAATAATCCGTACGATAGCAAAAAGCACTCTTGGAGCTATATTGACACTTGCTACCGATGATAAAGACCTAGGAATTCTCAAGTATAGGAACTATTTGTTACTGGAAAACATCATTTGACTCAAATAAGTCTACTTTTGTAGACTTGCGACTTAGAAATTAGTCATCTGGTTGAGTCATTCATACAACTTTGCATTGTAGGCTAATTCGTTATCTGCAATATATCCTCCCATTCGCTCTCAGCTTTCTATGTATTACTACCTAAGGGATTGCGTGGATCTTCCTAATCTACAGTTGTATCTATATTCACGTGAGGATAAAATGATTAATCATAAGTAAGTTTGAAATTGGTGTTGAATCAGGCTAAAGCCTTCTTATTCTCCTTCTTCATAGAATTTCCTTATTTTTTCGCATAGTCTTAGAATCCATTGTTCAACAGGTATGTAAAGAAGTTCTTGGAACATCAACAAGAACTGGGTCGTGATGTTGAAGAAGTGTTGTTTGGAAATTCAGAACATGTCCAGCACTTCCGCTCGCATCCTTTACAGTATCGTTCTGCTTGCATTAATTTCCTACAAAAGTTGGAAAAGTCCTCATTATGAGGCTTATACAATTGCTTAGATACGCATTATTAGTTGCAAAAACATTGATATTTAAAGCAAATGCCGATTATGCTTCCAGCTATCTCTGTAAACTTGTTGAAAACATCCGCTCGATAGAAATCTCGAGTTATTTTTGAGGATGTTTGCGGCGTCTGCGTTGTGCTGTGAAAACCTCAGATCTTGTTTGTATTTTTCCTTGTAACCGGAGATCATTTGAATGCGTGTTTTACGGCAAGAGTGTGCTTCATAACTCAATACTTTGTTGTGTTAATGAGTTTGTGCGAAGTTGTAAAAATCTATGAGTATCAACATTAATTTTCTATACTGTGTATTCTCGTAATTTTCGTTCACTTTTATGGTTTTTCGTTGCTGGTTACCTTTCTGTCACTTTGCTGGTGTACAGTTTGTCTGCTGATAAATATTTTATTCAACATTGCTTGGCAGCTTAGGAGTTTGGAGTCCAACACCTCGTCACCGTTCCGTCAGGTGTTAGTAGATTATCAACTTCGTGACGGATTGCCGTATGAGTCGTTGCGTTTTCAATGCGTTTTTTGTTTAGCTGTCATAGGGAACTGCCTCCCAACAGTCTACCACCTCATGGTGGATGGAAGGTGTTCTTGGTTGTCGGGCTGCGAAGTACAGCGGTGAGATTCATCTCTCTAGCAGTCTCTCAAGCTGAGAAGTGGTCCGCCGTTTTCATCAGGAAGCCTAATTAAGAGTAAACCCACTACCAGGATTCATCACCGTCCTGGTAGAAAACTAGTCGCACGGTGGCAAATCTCCCTCTGATCCATAAGGGCCCGTCCCCCCGGCAAGGTCTCCCAAGCTGAGAAGGAGTCCGGCGTTTCCATCAGGAAGTCTAGCTAAGAGTAAACCAATACCTTGATCCACCACCGTCCTGGTGTCAAAGTGGCATGGTGACTAATGTCCCTCTGATCCACAAGAATTGCGACTGCCTGTGGTGGTGACGACCTGGGCCAGACTGGCTTGTTGACCTTTGGACGACAGGGAACCACAATGGCTGGACCAATAAAACTCCGAAAAAATGGAGATTATGCTGGGGTCCGCACAACCAGTGAGGATGGGCTATCTAAGCATCTAAGCAAGTAAGTAAAGAAATATAGAGAGCGGAATTGTTAGATGACGTAGAACTTCAGGCAGCCAAATTTCTAAAAATTCTTTAGTTCTATAGAATGGCCTCTACTGGATCTGTTAACTTGGGACACTTGCCTGTATCTTTATACAAGTTTATTAGCTGAAGACTTTATTGATCATATGCATTGGCATCTATGCGTGAGTGCGTTACCGTACCAGGAAATATGTGTGCGTCCGTTTCAATACACCTTTACAATTGTTTCCTTTGTCGCATAAATTCTTCCTTCTACATTGACGAAGCGTTTCTCGAACCGTGTGTTTCACATAGCGTATCTTTTGAAACACCTGGGTTCTCAACTTTTATTCTGTCAGATTGTAATTAGAGAATTATTTTACGACTTTCAATCCAATATTTTTCTTTAAAATTTACATGTATGGCCTTTGGTAGCCATCTTTTCTTTAGCCCTGGAAATGAGGTCGCTACCATGTTGCTAACCGTAGTAAAGACTTCTGTGCTGAACTCATTCATTATGATTTTCCGCAAATTCTCAGCTTAGATGGTGTCGCTTTCAACATATCCACTCAGCCAATAAGAGTGTAGGGTGGTAGACGAACAGTCCATCTAAACTACAGAGAAGGAAGAATGTTCGCGGGCGCCGCTGATTTCTGTGGCAAACGGAGAATACGTCGTCATCTGGCTGCTTTGTACATCAGCGATTTTGTTTGGATGTATCTTATCTTCCCATTTGAGCACCACGTGGTAGGCCCAGTTACAGGCCATGAGTAGTGTTGCCATCAGCTTCTGGTGTATAACCTACTTGGAAACTCTTTTTATTCTTCCTGGATGTGTCAGTCAGATGAATTTTCCTCTAGCGTGACCTCTCATCCAACAAGACACTCATATAGGAATTATCAAAATACAATTTACTTCAATGAGCCTCGTCACCACCGACTTTGTCACACTTCCAGCTACGGCCACGTCTTTATCGGCATACCTTATAATGTTGTATGTGAAATTATATCTAATATATAATTTGAACAGCTTGATTCTTTATCTGTGATTCTTATTTAGGATGTATTGGTAGAAGCCAACTTCGTTTAAATGACTGGTCAGATTCATCAATACACATCTTTTGCATGGCATGCTAACTCCTCTGGAATTTCAACCGACATGTTGAACAAACAGCCTAATCTTGTAGCACCTGTTTTTTCCATGATAGGTTGAGTTTTCGTCCAAAGTGAAGTGATCTAACACTTTTTATCAGAGTCGTCAAGCATACGTTCCGCTTGGCTAATGTTTGGTGTTATAAGCATGATGTCGGAAAATGATGGTCATCTAGTATTCAGCATGCCAGTAAGCGTAGTAGTCGCCGAATACTTCACCAGAAAATCCACGGAAGCTGTATGGATAGTGATATGATTTCAAAACGACCGCAATGGGAAAACTGCTCAGTCTTTCATGAAAATCAGTCAAGATATTTGCGTAGGAAGTCATGAGTATTAAATCTGAAACTACTGTCAGCATGTTTAACTTTTTGTTTAATGCGTATTTTTCTACAGCAGAATACGATGTGACACACATCCACTGTGGTGCCGTTGTCAGCTTTATTTCATAGCTTGTCCTCTGTTATTCCATACCTCTCCACATAACGATCTCTTTCATTGTTGATGAAATTGCTCTGGAAGCAAGTCATGTACGACAACGAAATTTTGAATAGTAAATTCTGTATATGCGATGGTTAAAAAACAACGAGAGGAGTTGAAAAAGTGCCGGAACGCCCATGACATGGGATAATGGGTCACTCACATGTCTGGGATTTGTGAAAACGTAGTGTTTGTTAAATTTGAATCAGTACAAATCGTCACTGTGCCGAGGTTGGTGACAAAAGTAAATTTCTCACATGATGGCATTTCTGGTGGTAGAGAAAGAATTGAAAAGTTTAGACATAACTTTCCAGAAAAAAAAACGCTAGAATTTTGGTGCTTGGAAACTGGAGTAAACAAAAAACCTAATGTCTTGCTCAATCTCTTAATAACTTTGTATAGAACTTCAAACAACGAACTATATCACTGGATTTGAATCATGTCAAAGTATAGGTTTCAGTCTCGAAACTCGAATCAATTAGTCCTATCCTTAAACTCAGTCTCCTCGGATTCCAGATTTCTCAAGTTTTTGCTTACGTTTTGAATTATATTGGTCATGATGATTATGCTAGAAAGTGGGTCTAGTTATGAAGTAGTTATACTACTCATTATGTTCACATATTTAGTTGCAAGATCATAAAATGTATCTTAAGAAATGGATAGAGCGAATGTGGCGCAGTGGTCGGAAGCGCCCTGCAATACATATAGGATCGATTCTCGCGCCCCTAACCCACAAGGCCTTCCATCTCTCCGGGGACGGCAAATAGGTACCAGACCTGTCTGGGAGGATAACAAAACTGGCTCGATACATCGGTAAGCTAAGGCGAGTGTATTGGCCGTGGCCCATTGTAAAGAGCAGATATGCATTCAATCACCTCCAAACGATGCTTAATGAAGTCGAATGCATGGCGCATCCTTCAAGGATTGATCAACGTCGACAGCTTTATCCTTTTTTTTTAGAGAATGGAATTTACTATTCAAAATTTCGTTGTCGTACATGACTTGCTTCCAGAGCAATTTCATCAACAATGAAAGAGATCGTTATGTGGAGAGGTATGGAATAACGGAGGACAAGCTATGAAATAAAGCTGACAACGGCACCACAGTGGATGTGTGTCACATCGTATTCTGCTGTAGAAAAATACGCATTAAACAAAAAGTTAAACATGGTGACAGTAGTTTCAGATTTAATACTCATGACTTCCTACGCAAATATCTTGACTGACTTTCATAAAAGACAGCAGTTTTGCCATTGTGGTCGTTTTGAAATCATATCACTATCCATACAGGTTCCGTGGATTTTCTGGTGAAGTATTCGGCGACTACTACGCTTACTGATATGCTGAATACTAGATGACCATCATTTTCCTTGGAATTCCAACAAAAGCGTTCTAGGGCAACACTAATTTCTCACCACAACCAGCTGTTGGTGCTCCTGGATTGGAAGCTAGCTGCCTTGCAATTACTTTTCCAGGATGCAACGATTCTTGCAACTAACGACGGACCCAATGGTACTAATAAATTAATTACTGCTATAAGGATATGAATATGATCCTTGTTGGGAAAACAAATATCTTTTAACTAGAAGTTTAAGACTTGTAAAAAAAAACTCCGTATCGACGTTTAAAAACTCACTGCAGATGACGCTGACAGTTAGGGGCTGTTCAAAATTAATCCTCTCATATTCATGACAACTCTCGTTATTGGCAATCTCCTACATTTTGATAACTAGTTTACATGGTGATTGGAGTTGAGGAATTCACAGGAGGTGGATACAGGTTTCCGTGGTATGTAGAACTTCTACCGAGAACTTCTCCTGATTTTTAAAAATTAGAATTGAGAAAATACTGTGCAGAATATTTCAATGATTTTAGCTACCACAGCATATGTCCAACATCTTTGATGCATTACAGAACACCGTCTTGTCTTAGAGAACGAGATCCCTTCTCGAATTGCTTCTGTTTAAATTTCACATCTTACGAAAAGCGAGAAAGAACACTAATTTTGAGCTCAGGAACATCAGAATTTTATTGCAGTAGCGAACTCGAGTTTTGTTGGCAAACATCTTTAGGTTCTAGTAGTTTTTATACCAATTAGCAAAGTTTACTATGAGTGGTGAAGTTTGAGAAAAGCACTGGTTAAAAATGCCGTCAACTGCAACGATGGTCGTTGGTTCGCCTACGCACCAGGCTAACCAAGCCTCTCATCCATTTGAGGTCAGAAAATTGGTATCAGACCTCTATATATGAGGAAAGCTCCTTCTGCTAAAAGGTCGATGAAGGCGTCTGGCCGTGGTGAAAACCTGTGAACGCTCTACTGTAGCTATCCTACGATTTTAGAGAGAACCCAGTTGAAAGGCGCTAATCGGTCTAGTAGTTGCCGCATTCACACGCAAATCATGGATGATAGATGAGGGTCAACGTACAACATGTAAAAATTACTACTATTGACAAAATACATGGAATCGGATCATATAAGTATAAGGACAAATATACACTGCAAGCTGAGATATGTCTGTTTAAAACTGAAGGACTTGTTTCAGGCCACGTATGCTTGAAACCACTGCATATCGTCGTTGGTGCGTTAATTACGTGTACTCCAGATGAATTATTTCACATGTGAACCCTGATCAATACAGATCTTCCTAGTAACTTCGATGTTGTTATGCTAAAAAAAAATTGGAGCTAAAGTACAGCCTAATCGTAGAAGTGAAGCGATCCGCACTCAATAGGGAGAATTCATCCCAAGCTTCGTGTCGAACCCAAGCTTCGTGCGGCGCTGTTCACGTATAAAGGAGCGAATGGAGCGGCGTTTGATCAGTTCGTTCATGACCAAGATGACGATTGTCCATACGACAAGGCTAATAACAGAAAATAGAGGTAGTACGCTATGAAGTTGCACTCCAGACGCATACGAAAAAAACACCTGAAACGTCAATTTCGGTGGTACTTTATAATATTACTATATCGCTATACATGTTATGTGCAATATGCCGGAATATCTCCACTGTAAGCGAATAGCATTTTTTTAAAGCAGATTTCTTTGGATCATGCCTTACTATCATTTAGCTTTTATCGGTCTACTTAGAATTACTCATGCGTCTGCGAAACCATCATCATTTCTGAAAGAATGAATACGTCCACGATGTCGACCAATGAGAAAACACGCTTTGGCATTGTATACTTGCAATGGTCAGAGCAATCATAATTGGTCAAGTAAGTTTAACGTGAGACGAAAACTGCGTACCTGTAGTACCAAGGACACCACACATGAGATGACATACTGTGGGCAAGAACAGGGATTGTCTTTCCAAAGTGAGCTGAGCGGATACACCCACGCCGATGAGAGAGCACATAAATAGACCGCTTGCTGAATTACGAGAGACCACTACTTATTATTACAACCGATAACACTTAATTCGTATCATGTTCATATAGCTTGGTAAATCAGTCACAGATAATAAACTAGTGCTTGATATGTTACCACACTCAAGCTTAAAACCATAATCGAAACTGCATACACGATTGACTTAGATAACCACAATAGCAGCAGACATATTGGCGCACATACAAATTAACTCTAATGACCATCAGAATTCTGAGGAAGGAATATGCTAGCAGATTCTAAGCAATGCATAGTTTCGAGATAATGACTATTGTTTTTCTACTCAGATCAAGCAAACCAAGAGAAAAACCTCACATGAAAACCGATGATGTGGCGGATAGCGATCTTCGATACAGGGGCGTCCGAAATATTGCTGGCGACGGTGCACACCACGTCTGAGAACGAGCACGTCAGCGACGAATTCCTCACCAACTACAACATCAAAAGAAAGTGTGTTAAGAGCAATATTCCATAGTTTTCTAGCATGCATATACTTATAATTCCAAACGTATACCAATTTTATATGTAAATATTTGTGAGATACAATCACAAGGATGCTGAGTCATGAGCAAAACCCGGAACCTTAGGTGCGCTTCGAACTCGCGATTATCGTTTCCGGGGGCTCACGTGTTTTCCACTGCACTAACCGAGCCCTTGCTTTGTCTTTCTCCCAGCCAGTTTTTTTTATTCTAACGGTGTTACCAGCAAATTTCACATAACACCCTGCTTATAGAGAATAGTTCTTGTGAAATATTCCCTATCTTTCACTTTAAGATCTCTTGTGTAAATCACGTATTCGTATTTATGATTCCTGTAATATGATCTATTGTACCACTAGTTACTTCACATAACGCCGGCGTGTCTGCCCTACATTAATATTTCTTCTTAAGCAACCGGGCACAGCTCCAGGCACGGGCAACTTCTAACCAATGGACACACTACCGTGACACGGCAAGAATTTTTGGAGAACTGACAAAGTAACTATCGCCATTCGCTTAGATGTAGTCACGATCTTTAGCACTTTCATTTGAATTTTGACAAGACGTGGAGCTCGCTGTTGCCCTTCCTCATCACTTTGCCTTTCCACTTAATCTTCTTGCACAGCTCCTTCGATTCCCCTAGGCAAGAATAATGTTAACTAAATTCTTATGCTCTCGCATTATCAACATATTAAGGTTATCATCAACCCTCACGTAATCACTACTGGTTGTTATGCCAGCAACTTTCTTAAATACTTCAATTTCTCAAATACTTTGTAAGTATTCTACGCTCCGCAGCACCTTTATCCGTATTGCTAGTGTAACCTTGCCATGTCCATCACATTCCTGCATACTGGTCATGTAAATACTTAACCGCTTGTAGTTACACTAATATTGTCACATAAACAGCATTTACTAACTATATGTCATCTCGTCATAGACTGCTGCATTATGGTTTACACCGTTGTTAGTACATTTTGTTATCTATACTATTACTACCCATTGAACCACCTTACTTATAATTTGTTGTACACACACTTCGATTCTCATTGCACAGTTGTACAAATGTGAAACGGTTTAATTAGCCAAGTTTGAAGTGTGGGGAATAGCTGCAAATCAAAGAAACCCATCCAGTCTTCACCACTCTAACATGAAAAAATAGGCAGTGAATAAATGTCAAAACATTGTGGTTTCGACTGCAACCTCAGCTTAGCTGGGTTCAATGCCGATTTTGTTCCCCATATCACTCCTATTGATGAATGGTAGCCGATGGCACCGTTAGGGTAGAAAACTGGCTGAGAGAAAGGTAAAGCAAGCACTTCGATTAGTGCAGTGGATAACATGTGAGCCCCCGGAAGGGATAATCACGGCTTCGAAACCCATCTGAAATTCCGAGTTCTGTTCATAATTCAGCACCTTTGTGGTTGCATTTCACATAATATCGTGGAACGAAAAAAGAATAGGCAGTTAATAATACGATATTGCGAGTTTTGAGACAATAGGATGTTCCTAAAGCATTATGAGTAAGCAACATTCACTAAATTATAACGAAGATCGAATACCATAAGAAAGAAAAGCAGGACAATAAAGAGTGAAGTAGGACAAAATCCAACGAGAAATACCATCGCAGCCCACTTAATGCTTTGACGATATCCAGTGGTCAGGTTCTGAAAATGTCATAATTCATAAATGAAATTCAAAAATGTCACACCATAAGAAAAATCTAGAACAAGAGATGACCCGTAAGAGTAACAAAGTGAAGAACAAAGATCATGTGCCTAATAGGATTTGACTTGAAAGAACGTAGGTAGTAGTGATATTAGTACGGTCAAATCTTAGATGGAGACCTGAATTACCTTTGACGCGATGCGGATTACATTCGATTTTGGATAAAAGGGAGTAAATAGCGATCCCAAAGTGAGGCATGGCAATTGTAGAAACACGGTCAAAAAGATCTGAAAGACTAAAATTCCTGAGGTTCAGTTAGCATTATTAAAGCTAACTGTTAAAGGAAAATGGCGAAAATCGCTAACATAAACAATTTGGTGTACATCTTAAGAAAATTCGATAGAGAAATATGTACCTGTTCGAAATCAAATAGTAATGGAAGGAATGCCACTACAGAAGTCAGAAGAGACAATGAAAGCATGCACGAGGCTAAGAAATGGAATGCCAATGAACCCTTCACCGATACCAGGCGATGGCGACATGCAACAATTAGTTTTGGAAGCAGAAGAAGCTGAAACGACGTTTCTTGTGAGGTGTATAAAACTCGGTTTCAAAATAACTCATTTGGATAGCTCTCCTTAGCACATAACTACATTATTCGAAACTATGGTACTGTATGGAAGTATCAGCTTGCTATGAAATGATCTCTACATCATGTCTATTTGAACCTCTAGAGAATTACCTTTTTAACTATCATATTTTGAGTGCATCTTATAAGGGATAAATGAATATTACATAATGATCATACTACAGTACGTAAACAAGAAATCAAACCCAAACGCTTTGTAACGGCTAAGAATCATTGTACTTCCACAGTGCGTATACATAACTGACAGATTTATCTGTTAGTAAATTAGTTCTATGACTAAATACAGCGTCCCGAGCTGGTCGATGCGAGGGTTAAAACGCTGATCTAACCCCACCTACTACCACTTAATTTCTGGAGACAATTGGATTCACAGGATGGACTCCTTTCTCTATTTGTCTGCGTACACTTACAAATTTCGTATACATGAAGACATATGCATTCCTGTGTGAGCGTACTAAAGTCTGTGCTGATGCAGAATGGTATAATATATCGCAAGTATCCGAACATTTCATTCGGTATCTGAATGCATTCTCTTTCGAATGTTTCCCATGAATAATTGACTGGTGCAGACTTTGTGTAATACACACGTTAGTTTGATATACCTTTGGTAGAATTCAGTATTATCTCTTCACCTAACCTATCGGTTCGAAATATGTTCACAAATACAAGACAACCATCTTCTCCTCTACAATGCCATTTTTAAACGTCTTGAAGAGCTCCATATGCTTCGAACTGTCACATGAGTAATGACGGGTCGTGTTCATAAACGTGCTCAAAACTTCTTCCCAAACGGTCTTTGCGCTTTAGTTATGTTCTTGCGCTTCGAGTAGTGTCTTCGGTTAAACCTGCATATATCACAGCTGAGCTCGTCTTACGTTAGGGAAAAACAATGCACCATTCTTAGGAGGCCATCGGAGTATATAGTATCTTCCAAAAAGCTCTTCACAAAAATTTGTAAAACAGCACGGGCTTGAAACGAAGAGCAGCAAAAAATAGACTGATAAACATCGAATTCGTGTGACCGCTTTTACAAATACCTACCATGCAGGACCACCCTCATCGTTGCCGTAAACATTACCCATATATAAGCACTGTGAGTGATTTCTCTGTAGCAAGCCGTTTCATGTATGTTGCCAGCGGCAAAATTTGCCTCGAAATTAATACTGATTGATGCCTGAACATTCTCATCAATAAACTACAGCACTAATTTTGTGCCAGCACCATCACACATAAACTGGCATATGCACACGGCTGACTTACTGAAGCAACTATGCCAGCTCCACAGGTGCAAAATGATGGACCGAAAGATCCTGCCCCAATTAAGGGAGTCGATCTAGATGTTTTGGTGTAACCTTGATAACCACTGTTAATGAAACCCAGAGATAGGAACTCTTTTAGGACGTGAGGACATGAAGTAATCGTTAGGCGCTTTGCAACATCGACATGTGTATCACATTCAGCCCATAAGGTTTTTACGTTGTTTAGATGTTATTAGCACCATACAACATTTCGAATTGTTGTTGCCCAATGAGCTAGTAGACTTAAACGTTGACACGAGAAAGTTTCAGCAGCAGTTTGTTTCTTGTCACAAAAGAAAATAGGTCAAGGAGAGGCCGAGTTTATCTTCCCCAAGAAGTTCGATGATGTGAGTTCGATGAGACTTAGCAAAGCTTATCAAAAAACTCAAGACGTCCAGCTGAAAAATGGCTCCTTATTTTGCATACAATCCTGGTTTTTACTTCCAAGTATTATCTTTTTCGAGGCCGCTGTAGTTGGCAACGCCGCAAAAACTCCAACAACTTTGTCCACACCGAGTCGAAACTCGAGCTTCGACTGGCAACTATACACGTCTGGACTAAAAGCATCTAGCTACTGCATTAACATTAAAGTAGTCGGTAAACATAAAGCCTACGTCAACGACTAGAATAAATTTGAAAAATAAGAAAAGAAACGTGAATTTAACCACAAGCATGGCGAGGTATGAGCAAAACTCGGAACTACGGGGGTACTAAACGGCGATTGACCTTTCCGGGAGCTCATGTGTTCTCCACTACACTGACGGATGCCCTTGCCTTGCTTTCATCTCAGCCACTTTTTAAAATTTTTTGGATGCCAACGGTAAGTCAACAAGAGTGATCCAGAGAACATAAATCGGCACCGAATCCAGTTAAGTCGAGTTTACAGTCGAAATCCCAGCGTCTTAACCTTTGTCTGCTGCCTAGCCGGTAGCATCGACACAGCAAAAAACTGCCTGGGAGAAATGCAAAGCAAGGGCCTCAGCTGGTATTGTGGATAGCAAGTGAACCCAGGCAGGGATAACGGTGGCTTCGAAATCTACCTGAGGTATCGGATTTTGCTCATATCTGAGCATCATTGCGTTTGTATTTCACATAATACCCTTCCATGAAAAAGGAATAGGTAGCAAATAAAAGTTAGAACATTGAGTGAATTTATTTCCTGCCAACTCAATATTATTACGCAGCACTTGGATTTCCAATAAATAAAACTTCCATGAGTTGTAATACCCATAAAAGTGAACACAAACGTCTATTATTTTTAGTACTACATCAGAATGTCCAAACCTGATCACACTGAAGCCGGAAATCGCTAGCCACACCCATCAGGTTGGTAGCGGCCTCTTTGGCTTGGTGCCAGCTGGGAGCAGGATTTTGACAGCAGACCCAATCGCCTAATGGCAGGACACTGATAGAAATATCGGCCTGAAACCACGTGCTCGAGCACGACAAATTCTAGAAACCAACGAACTTCATCCACACACCTAGTGAATCTGCTGAAATCAATGCTACGATGATTCTCTACATCTATTTATGTAATGTACTGGTACTTCAACTCACTTCAACAATACAGGCAATAAAATGAAAACGATAAGATATAACAGTAGTTCCTTATTGGTCATTTTAAGTCATTTTACAAGCCGAGTTCGCTCAAATCCCAAAGAATAAATAACTGCGGTATTTTCTAGTTCCGAAAGACATTAGGAAAATCCGCTACAAAACTGCCAGATAACGCTTGTTCTTCATGAGATAGTCCAAAAAATTTTGTCAATTTTAGTACCACCTTGAATTCTGCTGATGTAGTGGGAAATCGTGGACGACCAACACTTAATATACGTGTGAAGTCGATTGGTAAATAATTTGGACTACATAAAAACATAGTGAGTTTGCTCTAACCCGAAGGAATACAGCCGTATTCACAAACGAAAGTGAAGATCCGATTGCCAGCACAAGTTCACCATATTCCTAAAAAATGTAGAAGCATGACCAATATTCGTCCACCAATTTATTCTACGCCTCAACAAACTGATAAATTGACTAAAGAATGATCTGGGTAGATTTCACACGAAAGATAATAGAGGAAGACAAATGTTTTCAATTTAAACAACTTTTTAATAACCTGCATGATCTCGAGCATCTGTAGATTTGCCTCAGGTGTACAATCTGTGATGAGTCCAACCAGTAGAGGAACATTGTCCACTTGTTCCAAATGTGGCCGAACGGCAGATATCCCAGTAGGAAGTCGAGCCTTGTTTGGCAGTGCCGCAACCTTGCGAAGAAAACCATAAGAATAGCGTAGATATATAGTTATTTAAACCACATCAAAGTGCACCTAAATTTGCAGTTTGTTCACTTGTGAGACAAGAAGAACACTACATTTTTCCCTTCGAGTTTTCATGAAAAATCTAATAATTGAGTGGTGCTGTTGCGTGCTTGACACTCCATCAGAACCAGTCGCCAATTTTGTCAGCCCGTTTTCCTCGAGACGCATTAGCCACCTGTTTTTTTCTTACTTTCTAGCATATGTAGCGGTGTTTCTCATCTTTGATCGTGTGGACCTAAGTCGGTGCCAACTATTAAGCCCATCTTTATGAAACAGGATAAATGAGAACTCTAGATTGCATACTTGAAAATGTTGATTGCACTTTAAAATTTTCTTTTCAGGCGTGAAAATTTCAAGGCCCATGTTAATGGAGAAGGCACAAACATCTCAAAGTGATGATATTTTCTGTTCTTTTTCTTTTTTGAACCCAGTCATTTATCAGGACGCTTGAAAATCCAGAGATACTCACAAAACTGGAACTTTGGTAAATGTTCGTTCTGTTGACTGTTAATGAGGCAACCTGTTCAAATCAATGTCCTACATACAAGTTCCTTCACCTCTAGGCGCACTATGTGGTCCAAGCACCAACCGTGACAGTCGGGTCACAGAATATTTTAGAGAAATTTCATTGGTTGTGACGTGACTATTCTCGAAAATCCGTTGCCACGTTTATGAATGATAGCATTCAGTAGTAGCTCTCCAATGTGATCAAAATCAGATTTTTCATGTTCTAGAAGCTAGAATATGATATACCATGCCCTGTTACACATTGATGCTTTGAAAAGATATGGGTTCAACGTGCCATTCAACCTCATAGAGAACAAAAAGAAATGAACCAAAGATGTGCCGAGTCCAGTAGTAGACAAAGTCATAAAAACTCAGTAACTATATAGTAATACTATAATTGTATAAAGATTTAGAAACGATGACGAAAGGACCAGTTACCGCCTATACAGAACGTTTCCAATGCATAAACCGCAGTCCAAGCTGCAATGAGCTCACCTTGGAAATCTGACTTAGCCTTCCTGACAATGGAGAACCTCGCGGATGAGAACCAAAACTCTTAAGATATAGTTGCTGATCAGACCTAAACTCTATCTATGAATGAAAAGCGAAATGAATAGGAGATTCACTGAGATTCTTTTTAACAACCTTGACTTCCCATTCAGTATTATTTCAGAACTCGTTGAGTCATGATGTGTAGTGCGAAGTACTGAAAGAAGCGCATGCATTGTTAGCTATGTATACATACGCATAAACATATATATGTATATATATGCAATAAAGAGGTAAATCTACGTTGTCTACACATGTGCACATGTGTAAATATGTATACATACATGCACCATATATATACATATGTATATGCACATTTATATGTACATATATACATACATATGTACATATATATGCACATATGATATATATAAATACATATACATATATATATGTACGGTGCATGTGTAACAGCAATATACGTGCTCGCTAGTTCAACTACATGCTCTGGGCAAATCAAACCTTTCATCCCTTCAGGATCGGCAAATTGTTAGCTCACTTACTTGGGAGGAGAAAAAAACTAACTTGATACATAGCAGTAGGTTTGTGCATTTCAGTGCTCCACTGAGTCGAATGCACAGCGCATTCATAAACGACTAATTAACCACGAGCGCTTTTTACGCTTAATAATGCAGATTGGAATTGTAAATTTTCTAAAGTATTCTCACATTTGGAACGAAAAAAGTCCTTCAGTGTTCTTCTATCAGTACTATCGGCTATTTCTGCCAACGACACATGACAATTCCAGCCGGCCTCGAGACCTAGATTTACGACTGAATGCTTTTATTAAGCCATTACATTGGTAAATCGTCGACAACTTGTCATCTGGGCTATCCTAGATCCAAATTCAAGTTCTTAAATTAACAAATTAATAAATTAACAATTAATAAAAAACAAATTAAACGCTAAATACACCATATCAATTATAACATTGAAAAATTGTCCTAAGTAGTGTTCGTTTCAGTTTTCCCATAGAAACCTTAGTTCCAAGTGTGTAGACGATTTTGATAGATGGTAGGAATACATTTAAGACCTTGATCACATCCATGCAGAGGTGTTGCTGATTCCATTTACCCTTGACCAACTCAACTCTGACGCAAATTTAAAGTATGATGTAAATAGCGTTGCGAAATTACCAAAATAAAAGGAACGATTTGAAGAGATACCTAAATAAACTTGACGCATAGTGCTTCGCATCGGATTTTAACCCCTGATTGGCCAAACTATGGCTTATAATAGGATGAAATAGAAAAGAAATGCATGACTGACCAAGTTTCTCAGCGAAAACCCGACTTCGCAGTTCGTTCTCGCGAGAGAAGTACACGAATCGAACACACAACTTTTCCAAATGATCTATAAACTGTACAGCTTGGGGCACCACCTGCAATATGGACAACATGCCACGTAAAGAAAATCGATTACTTGAGTGCAAAGGCAAGGCGAAAAACTTAATACTTGTCTTCTCTCAAGCAACTAAATTTGCGCAAAATTCCGAAGGTAAAAATTTTTTACTTAATGTATAGAATATCCATCGATCCCTTTCGTCTTGAATCGCTTGGTTACGACGCTTATTGGTGGATGAACACATAGATTTCTTGTGATATCGGTGGATTCGGGAGCGCGTCTAGGACAATGGCTAGAGGTGGCCTGCAATACACACGTGGTCACTGGTTCGGTTCTGCGCCCCGGGCTCACCAAGCCTTCCAGTCTTCCTTCTCTCCAGAGTCGGCAAGTTGCTATCACATATGTCTGTGAAGATAGCATCACTGACTCGATAAATCGGTAAGCTACCGCAAGTCATTGTATAGGCCATATATACACTCAACCACCTCTACAATGCTCTATAAAGTTAAATGCATGGCGCTTCTAACAAGGATTGATTGGCGCAGAAAGCTTCATCACTTTATTCTTGTAGATGGATCGATGTCGTCAGTCCCTTAACTTTGCTATGCTGAGGCAACTTATAGCTTTCGTGTGCATGTCGACAAATTCATAGATGCGAGCGTAAACGCATGTTTATATAAACAGACTTTACTAATTGATTCAGCCAAAAACTGCAATGAAGCGATCAGAAGCTCACGAACCTCGTACTGTGTTACAATCATTCCACAGAGAACATGGCCAGTGAACCACCGCTCGATTACCTCGCCAGCAGATTTAAGGGACAATTGATCGAAAATCGGGTCGCCTTGAGAACTATCTGCGAATTTCAGTAATGAAATAAGTTTTTTCACACAAGGATATTCTCGAATGTAAGTTCGAATAGAAAGTGAAGTGTAGAGAATCCGACACAGGAACGAAGACAAACCAAAGCTGTGTGTTCGCGGCAGCATTTCCCTTCTAGTCCGAACATGATGCAGAGGAACTTCGAAGTAGTAGCCTCGAAGAGAGTCATCCAATGTGGAACCGACTGGCCGATACGAAAGGGCGAGACAATAGCTGGAACACACACATACCGGATTTAACAAAGTAATGTTTGAGTAGATAGTGGTTTTATACATAAACTAAACCAATACAATCAACTACAATCAACATTTCATCTCCAGACCAAGTTAACATCAGTTTGAGTCATTGACCACTCAGGATAATGAGCAGTTGAAACTCGGGTTTACTCAATAATCTTCCAGCTTCAACCTTTAGATATGTCAAATAACTTAATTTTTCTATTTTTATTTTATTTTATTTGGCCCTTCTTCACGTCTATTGCGCGGATCCCAGCACTTCTCACATTCGATTCGTTTCCTCGCATCCATTGCTCAGGAAGATCTTCCAACTTTTACGTGTGGCTTTGGTTGCTGCTTGAGGATTTTCATTTTATCTTGAATGTCGTAGAATGTTGGCCGAGCAATTCTCTCTAGAGTCTTGAGTTACCCGGTCTGGAGCGTTCCCAGTTGGATTCCAATGAGCGATTCTTTCCCAGACAAGTCCGGTACCAATTTTCCGAGCCCCGGGGGATGAGAGGCCTAGTTGGCTCGGAGTGGAATCGAACTAGAACTATGCTCGTGATGACAGACACCACCACTACCTTGCTATCCGCCTCCAAATAACTTATACTTCTTGAAAAGTCAAAAAGGTTCATTAGTTCTCACGAAAAAACTATAACAGCATTCGAATCCAAATATTTTAACATATTTGGGATTACATACATTGGTTTCTGTGCAGACGCCCTCGTACGTATTAGCTCTTTTCGACTGAAAGAGGGGATACCTCAGTCCATAATGAACTTAGCAATGAAAATAAAAATCAACCACTCAAAAAATAGAAAACTAAGAAGTAAGTCGTCCAGTTAGTCATTAATCACAACTTGCAAGTACTTTGTAATAAAAAAAAGTCTTCTTATTTTAAAAAATCCTAATTTACTAGTATTCATAGAAGATAGTGGGGTGCAGGTGGTAGCACAGTGGTTACTGATGGCGTCGATCAGGAAGCAATGCTCTAGTTCGACCTTCTACTAACAGTCTCATGCAATCCACGTGGGAACGCGCGACACAACCAGCATTCTACGAAATGCAGAAGGAAGACGAAATACTCGAGTAGCAACCGAAACAATATGTGAAATGTTCGGAGAGCATAGTAAACGATGAATGGGAGTAAAACGAATAGAACGCAAGAAGTGGTGGGACTCGCACAGCAAATATGACGACAGGTTTTACAAAAAATAAAAAAATAAGAATAAAAGATAGCCTTTCGGGTTCTCTCGTTGACATTCGTGTTCCCAACACCAAATTAAGTGGACAAACATTTCATGCAACAGGACGCGATTATATCTCCGAATGCGTTATTGGTATCTGACACCCTGTGTTAATCATCTCAAAGTCCAGATTTGGTGCTCAAATACTTTTTAATAAGACTAGATTTTATGAAAATTATGCACTCCCTTGAATGAAACATCAAAGTATTTCCTATTGACAATTCTAACTTGTTATGTACTACTCTTTTTACTCTTTTTAATGGCAGGGTATAATGCGAAATATAACCTCAACGATGCTGAAATATTTGCAAAACTCCGGACCGCAGGTGTATGCGGTGGAGAACGAACGCACTACTCTCCTTTCCGAGGATCCCCAGATCGACCCTGCTGACGGGTGATTGCTTGACAAGGATCGATAGAACTAGCTGAGAGACAGGCGAAACGAAGGACTCGCATGGTGTGGTGGTGAACGCGTTACTCCCCGGAAAGGACAATAGCGGGTTCGTTCCCCACCGCATACACCCGCGGTGCGGAGTTTTGCAAATATCTCAGCATCATTGAAGTTATATCTCCTATTGATTTATAAATTTCCTAATTCTTCGACTTTTTTAAGTCCAATTATTTAAAAAAAACTGTCAGCGTTTATCAAAAAACCAGCACGATTATTAATTTTTTAAACAATAATTAAGGAACCTTTGTTTTAGAATATTATGATTACTAATAAGAAGAGGCTTCAACCTGTTATAAGGAAGAATGGGTTGCAACTATGATGTACACGATTATAAAAGAAGTTTGAAAAGTTCAGCGTTTTCAAATATTCAAAGTACGGCAAGCCTTTATGAATTTAACCTAACAGTGATGAGAACACGATCCTACTGAGAAATAAGTCTTTGATAACGACAGAAAGGAAACCCTGTAACTGAGTGTCTCTGGTAGAAATCGGTAGCCGCTTTTATCAGACGTTCTGTCAGTGGCACTAGTGATTCACCATTCCAAACATGGGTGCACGCCTAAACGAAAAACTAGAACATTGTTCTAAATTCGTTCATTCCGCAGACTCTATGAATCGGATACAATGTCATAAACATTGTAAATGGATAGCTATTCTAAAGAAGATTTCTCCGTCAAGTTCTCATCGAAAATTTGACTGATTTACTACAAGTTTCCGCTATGTATAAAATTTATTACTTACTTACTTACTTGAATACTTGAATGGCCCCTCTTCAATGGTTGCCCTAACATAATCTCCATTTTTCGGAGATTTTCTGGTTAAGCAAATGTGATTCCCTGGAATCCTGAGGTCAGTTTGTCCTCAGTCTAGCCCAGGTCTTCACCACCACAGGCAGTCGCAGCCTTTGTGGATCAGAGGGAGATTTGCTAACATGCGACTAGTTTGATACCAGGACGGTGGTGGATCTTCGTATTGGTCTACTTTTAGCTAGGCTACCTGATGGAATACCCGGACTCCTTCTCAGTTTGGGAGACTCTGCCGAGGAGATGAATTCCCTCGGTGTACATCGCAGCCCGACACCCAGCAACACCTCTTAGCTACGATGTGACGGTAAACCGTTAGCGAAGCTATATATAGCTCAAAATTTTAATCTCTGTCGGTCAGGTTGGTTTGTAAAAACTTCGCAACGACTTCACGAAATCATACTGATCTTCAATACTAGGTTGAACGGAAACCTAGTAGTTCGTTCTTGACTAAATGACCCTAGAACTGGATAAAGTTCTGCTGGAAACTGATAGTAGATGTGTATACCTCTAGCACAAGGTTGGCAGTTCCTTGACAAGATAAGTGGTTGTAGAGAGAATGACCATCGGCGTGTAGCGTACAATAGGCCATTTCCAGTGGAGTCTGATGTTTCGTAACGCTAAATTTCGATAGGTAATAACTTTCCACCTGAATAACTCTAAGATATGCTTAATGAACCCTTGTAAAGGAGCATCTCCTGGTCGTCGTTGATAGAAACCCAGAACGCCTGGGATTTCCAGAAACTGATCTCTTGCATTCTTCTTGAACCTGAAGGCATAGAAGGAATATGTAGGTTATGAATACACAAAAGCATTAAGTTTATTTGGCTACAGTTAAGCATCTACTTCTCATCAATTAAGTGATGTAGAGCAAAGCATCCGACGCTGATATAGCTTCTAGAGAAGCGCCATATCCTGGACTCCATTGAGTATCGCATTCAAGGTGAATGAATGCATGTTTAGTCAGTGGAACTACTTGAGGAAATCTAGCGATATATTACTGTTTTATCGCCAGAGAGAAGAGTGGTATCAATTTGCATCCTGGGCTTGGTGAGCCCATCGTAACGTGAACGAATGAGTGTGTGAGCATTGGCAGTCATATTACTAATAGTTACTACACTCCACGCGCCCACTTATTAGTTAAGTAGACAGGGATAATGTTCACTCCACTTACATGTGAAGGCTTCATGACAGAATAAGCCGAATCAAAACCTCTCCTCTACTTCCATCTAACAATACACTATACTCAATTGCCAGCACACGTATACAGTACTTTAAATCGCAGAATACTACATATTATTTGAGCAGTCATATTAATGCTCAAAAAATATCGAGAAATCGATCAGAACTTCGTCGCAGTTAAGGTGCAAACAGAGCCAAATAAAACGAACTTTTAGCAAATTGTGAGCGAATTCGACTAGCGAACTACAGGAATTGAAGCCGAGAACAGATAATTGGAAGAATAAGGCATTAGAAAAGAAGAAGCGTCTTGAAAACTTCGAATGGATACCGAAGTTAAGCCTACTACAATCGTACTAGTAACAGGAAAACAGAACTTCAGCAATCAGCAATGTACCATCTTCATTTTGGTACATCTTGTAATCTTTGAAGTCAACGGCGAAATAAAAAATCAGAACACTAAGACCGCTGAAGAACCACATAGTCATACTTCCTTAAACTTAGCTTTTAAGAGGTAATAAAATAGGTCTTCCACAGAGTACTAAAACGCCATTCAAGCGCTTGCTTTACAGTAACACACTGCTGCAAAAGAATTAAAAGAAGAAAAGATATTACCAACAGACACTGTAGTTATTACAACGGTGTGCCTCATACAGCATAGACTAACACTGCCTGCTAGTAAGCTGCTCTTTATTAGTTTCTGCAGCCTTCTGTAGCAGGTAAATACCTCGTTAACATGAGGTTCAAACCTAGTCATAAGTAGTAAAACAACACTTTTTCTTTATGTGAAGACATAAGGCAGATAAAACTAGAAGGTTCCTAAACTAGCCCCTTAAGAAATACGACTCTCCGCGCACTCAGTAGATTAGATAATGAAAGAAGCAATACACTATTAGTTCTGTACTTCTGGGGATACCACCGAGGTAGCCTAAGGAAGACCGAACGGGTATTTCAAATGAGAGGGCAAATGTTGGAAAAAGGAGCTCGAGGAATTCGCAAAGTTAAAGATTGACTTTTGACTTAAGGCGGAAAGAAAAGACATTTCATGAAGACGTTTTTCCTTCCTAGTTTCTTAGCACAAAATGCTGCGACAAAACGTCTATTACCCAACAAGCCGCGGGAAGACGCAGGAGCATCTACGACAGGCGGTTGCAATTGTTCGAGGAACTGTCAAAGCGACAGCCGATAGATGGTCGAGAAACGTACTGAACAACGTGTCGCAGCCATTCAGCAGCAGCATCTGTCCAATCACTCGTAGACTGGAGTCAAAACGTGACCTATATAATTAACAATGACACTTTACTACACGTATTCCTTCAGCACGTAGTGCCTCAGGGTCGTTTTTCGAGAACAAACTATAAATCCTCGCTGAGAGACAGGCGAAACGAAGGACCCGCAAGATGTGGTGGTGAACGCGTTAGCCCCCGGAAAGAACTGTTCGTTCCCCACCGAAGACACCAGCGATCCAGAGTTTTGCAAATATCTCAGCAACATTTTGGTTATAATTTCTCAATTTTATATATTTAAAGAAAAGGCTTTGCACCTTTCTATTAACTACAGACATAAATTTTATACAGTGCTTTTTCAAATTGAAACACGTTTAGAAATAAAACTTTCAGAAAATTGGCGACAAAACTTAAATTTTTAAAATTTCAATTGAAGAGGGGTAGATGTAAACATAAACGACGCATTGGAGTTTTGTTGATACCATGGTCTTGTTGGACGAAATTCCGAATGTTCATTTCTTCCCGCGTTCGAAATATGGGTCTTGAAGGAAAAAAGTGTGAAGAATAGATGTCATGGGACCCTAGGCCGGAAATCACAATTTCATTCTGGTAGAAGAGATCGATTTGTTTCTTGTGGGCAAAGCTCTGTAGATTCGAATGATTTTATTACAACTGATGAAATTTGATAAGAAATGGCATATGTTCGCCTAAGATTAAAGTGATCATTACTTTCGCATCAGCTGCATTGTAGACGAAGCAGCTAGTGCGCTTCTATTACATTAATATTATAGACAGTGAAAAATGGCAATGAAATCAAGGTTAAGAATTCTTCCTGAAAAATAAAGAATATCTGTTTCAAACTGGATTAATGAAATCACTCCACATCAATAAAACTGAAGGTCTGCGTACTACTGTACCTCTAGGTAGACAAAACAAAACTTCTTCTGTGATGTTGTGATGTTCTCAACCTAATAGGCCTTCCAGTGTTGAAAATTTACCGTTTTTTTTGCCGAAAAAACTAGCATTTTTCGTATTTAGCACGGCTATGTCTTCACGGCTTTTCTTTTGGTCTCCGAGAAGTCAACGGTGGTCGTCTATGTCTTAACACTGGATTATGTTAAAGAATGCTCCCTGAAATGGTTTGGCACCTCACTGTGTTGGGTTAGCGTGTTCCTAACGCCAAAATGTGATAAACTGAACGGCACGAGGCTCTCCACACTCGCTACTTTCTGCATATTTCTGCGGGTTTTCTATGCTCTACGGATGTTTATGTCTCTGGAACATTTCTAATTCTCGTCAGTAACAAGAATACTCATCAGCCATCCACCCATGACGATGTCAGCCATCGACAGTAGATTCCACAAGAAATTGAGCCTCCCACGGCATTTTCAAATATCTCCTAGTCCTTCTGATATTTAAGTATAATGGAGTTGAAAATTTCTGATGATTCCAAAAATAAACATTGTGAAGACACTCTGTGTGCACATTTTTTGTTTGTGTTTAATTATCCGCCTTCTCATTGGTAATCGCAAGAGTTTTTACCCACTGTTTTCATAATAAGCCGAAGACTTATCCAAGGCAGATGTTGCTTCAGATGAATTCCTCGAAAAGTTATCCACTACACTTAGCAAACTTACAAAAAAAAACAATATAAAATGTGTATGTTTTTCCAGCGCAGAAACTGTCTGGTGAAGGGAGTACGAGGAGAACTCATACCACGAAGACCGTTGCCAGTGAAGGAGATACGGAAGGTACAGAAGAAGGCACACAGATTGTGCGATGTTCAGCGCCGTTTCACACGGTGTATCTTAGTATCATTACAAGTCCTCAACTTCATTGTACTCAAATATGACAACGAATAGGAGATAGATAAAAAATCCCAGTGTTCCTGTAAAATCGACCAACAAGGGTACAAATGTTTCGAAAACATCGGAAGATAATAGAGAAGATAACTGTGGTACGCAAAAAAAATATATTTAAAAAAGGAATGACTGCAAAAAAAGGCATAGAGTGACCGAACTGGAGCCGAAACAAATAAAGGCATAATTATCTTTAAGGAAACGCAAGCAACGAATTCAACGCACTCTACGAACGGGGAAAATTTGGCCGTAATTTTACGCGGCCACCACGTAAAAACAGTCGTAGTCATGAAAGTGCCAGTGAAAATTAGTAGATAATTTTGTCGGTGAATAGTTCAATTCTTACCAGTTAGGGTCATCAAAACCAACATTCCACGAGCCATCTAGAAGCTGTTCAGAACTAAGATCTAGAATTTCAAGGGATGCAGAATCATTGTTTTGGCCTGCAAATAAAACGCGCAAGTCATCAGCGCTTGTCAATTTTTGGAAGATTTTAATTTATTCGAAATGTAGTTATGCATTACAATAGAAGAATAGGTTGGAAACTCTTGAGAACAAGAAAAAACCAAAACAGAGAACACCCACCTTCGGTATTCGGCCGAAAAAACACTACTTTGTCGAGGCAAGGGTTCATCGGCGCCAATAGCCCTTTCTTGTCGAAAAATGAAGTGCCAGTTACACTTCCAAACAAAGTTACGAAATCTTTTGTTGAGTTAACTAAAGGACATATCAATAAAGATATACAATACATACATTTAACTATACATATGTATACATATATGCATAAATATAATATCGCCTTTAACACCAAGACAGGAATCACGGTTTTGGTCCCACCTGTAGGTACTCGCAGAACATTACAGACGGCAATGTTCCCCCTTAAAATAAACTGTCAAATGATCTTGTCTTAGGATAGAACGTAACGATCTCACCACTGCTGTATAAAAAGGAAAATAAGGAAGAAGGTCGGAGCCACTAGAGGGAGAACTATCAACGGTGGGATTGCGAAAGCGAACCTAAAAGAATAAAGTTGTTCTCAAATGTCTTATTTTATTGGAAGAATTTGGGAGAAAAGAATTAAACCCTAGAGTGAGTTTTTTTCTTAACAGAGTAAGAGATTCCACTTGAAAATGGACTTATAAAACAATTTCTAAAGATCGATTTCTAAAAACCATTCCTCGCTTTCGGAACTCCAGAACTATTTTCGAGAACTGCGAAAAAAGAAAAAGATTAGAAATCATAACGTCACTCACCTCGTGGAGAACGAAGACTGACTACCGTCATGGAAGAACCGCACGAAACAGACAAAGACGCTAACTGCAACGACTGCTGGCAGAATGACACGTTCGCCGACCGCATGCACGCAGTAGTGCAGCTGAAACAGACCTGGTAGCAGATTCTGAACAGTGACGAGAACCCTGGATTCCACAAACACATCCGATAGAATGCGCAGGTGCCCGAAAACAAGTTCGCCTCACTAGTTCAACACCTGACGAGGACGCCCAGCTTTGCTTTCCCCCACATACAACGTACAATTTTCAGCCTTTACGCACTTGATTTTTCGACAGTGAACGACATTTTTCAAACCCACAGTCATTTCGCCTCGGCAGTGATGATGATTACCTTCTTGGAATTAATACTTCCACGTTCATGACCTATTATTTTCTACTGGAATCATCGACTTTGAGGAAGATGAAGTAACGTCGGAATAGGAAGACAACTTTCACACCGACCGCCTTTTAACTTCGGTAGCAAAATAATCAACATGTACTAAAATTTTTGAGCTTACAAAAGCTTAATACAGAAATTCATTTCGGCTTATGTTTCGACGTCTTCGTCTTCATCAGAGCCGATGATCCGTGTCAATGGTCCACAGTTGTTCATCTTCTCGATGTAGCATCTTCATAGGCGTATCGAGATGGATCTTCTTTAGTGGAACACCGCACGAATGAGCCATACTCACCCGACAGTGCTGTTTTATACAGGGAGAGAAGACAAACAACTGTGGACCATGGACTCGGATCATCGGCTCTGATGAAGACAAAGACGTCGAAACAGCCGAATAAACATTTTTATCAACCTTGTGTCTGCTTGATAATCGATATGCTTGATAAGACAGTGAAGGATAATTTTCCGATAATAGAGGACTTTAGGGGCTGGTAAAATGACATAAATGTAGTGTGAATTATATATATATATACACATATATATGTATATAATACAGTTTATTATATGTTACTATGGTCCACAAAACGAAGAAACTGCTGTCAGTATTTGGAAACATTCTGCAGCTCATATTGAGCTTATTTAGATAACTCGTATATAATGCTGAGATATTTGCAAAATCTCCGGACCGCAGGTGTATGCGGTGGGGAACGAACTCGCTGTTGTCCTTTCCGGGGAGTAGCGCACTTCACCACCACACCATCCGGGTCCTTCGTTTTGCCTGTCTCTCAGCTAGTTCTATCGATCTTTTGCCATCAGCAATCACCCGTCAACGAGATTGATCTGGAGAGCCCAAATCGGCATTGAAGCCAGTTAGGCTGAGACTTAGTTATAATCACAATCTTAACAGGGTGATTGCTCTCCCCGGAAAGGACAATAGCGCGTTCGTTCCCCACCGCATACACCTGCGGTCCAGAGGTTTGAAAATATCTCAGCATTATATACGAGTTATATTTCGCAACATAGCCTGCCATTAAAAAGAAAAAGGCAGTAAATAAAAGGGTTAAGCTTATTTAGATAATTTTAAACCCACACACTCCATGCGCTAACAGATGATTGATCAGAGTGATTAAAGTGGAAGTCGCATATTTGTTGGGCAAGTCACCGGCCAATGAATTTCCGAGTAAAACGATTTTTTCGTAGTAATTCCCAAGACCGACTTTCTGTTAACCTCGGCATTAATTGATAATTCAATGTTTTTCTTCAATAAGCAGACAAGAGGTTGTTAATATAGAATTTATTAGAATACAATAGCTGACGTTTCGGCGGTTTCGCCTTCTTAAGAGCCTGGAAAGGTCAAATTGAGATGTGATCTACTCAGCCAAACACTTTCATAACCCCAGCAGATAAAACTTGACAAATCGATTTGCATTCGCATACGAAACAGATTCATTCAAACACCTACCGTTTATATGTTGTAAGTATTTAAGTTAGTTGATGGATTGCCGCCGCACAGAGTAATACATGGGCGATAACTGTGTCTTAACACTGAGATAATTGCGATAACTGAGAGTAATACATGGGCGATAACTTAAATACTTACAACAAATAAACGGTAGGTGTTTGAATGAAGCTGTTTCTTATGCGAATGCAAATCGATTTGTCAAGTTCTATCTGCTAGAGTTATGAAAGTGTTTGGCTGAGTAGATCACATCTCAATTTGACCTTTCCAGGCTCTGAAGAAGGCGAAACCGCCGAAACGTCAGCTATTGTATTCTAATAAATTCTATATTAACAACCTCGTGTCTGCTTATTGAAGAAGAACATTGATTTTTTCGTAAATCACTGTGTGCAGAAAATGAGTTTTGAGTTTTGCCAATATTACGAATACTTAGTACTATAAAATGCTTCAAACAATATACTCGAATTTTGGCGTAAATTTCTTGGAAATTCGAATTGTTAACAAATTTAAGATCAAAGCGATAATTTAGAAAACTCCTCCTTTCCCACTCTCTACAAATATATCCTTAAAGCGATAGCTCGCCCTAGTTACCGCAACCAGAGTTTTCAGGGATTTTTTTGCCAATAAGACATCCCGTGAGAATATTGTAGACCCTCTAGACCTCCCGGGGAACACTCTTGAGAATTTTCCGGTCATTTCCACCTACTTTCTCACAGGGACCACCTTTGCGAATGCGAAGTATGGTGGACCACCCTTGAGAACCCGTCTCGCCCCCGCACGGCCCATCGACCGCGACGCAAATGCTTCGACTCCGTTCCAATTTCGAATTTTTCAATTTTTTTAGACATAAACGGGGGTTTTAGGCGATTTCTTCGCCCCCCTCCCTTCATACTCCCTCCGCCCTCGCAGACTCGCCCCGCTCCCATTCCCAAGGTCTTCATTCCTCAAACCAATTTCAAACATAATTATTTGCTAGCTTATCTATCTGTCAATTTATTCCAAAAATTATACACAGCTCTCTAGAAAATTCCTCTGTTCCAAATGTGTTAATACGGAAAATTTTCCGGAGCAAGCCAATAACTTAAAGTACAAGTAGAAGTCACTTGTTGTGGCGATACTTTGGTCGGCACGATTTCTCTTGAAATTACAGCAACGAAAAACTAGGTATCGTCGTCTACCCGTTTATTAATTCTTAAAGTGGTGTCGATCTCCTTGTAATTAATTGTCTACCTGTTGTGGCTTACTATTGTTTTCATAAAGAAAATTTTAAGATTGTTCACAGCGTTACAGCACAATTTGCAGCGAGTTCCTCTGAGCTTAAGAAGTGGGCTACCTGAGCAGAGAAAAATGGTTAGGTACTGATGGAAAAACATAACATCCAAACGCAGGCTATGATTGTGAATATTTCTAGATAGAGCCTGTACACATGTCAAGTGCAACCCGGTAACTTTTTCTGAGTGAAATTTGAACCAATACCAGGATCCACCACCGTCCTGGTATCGAAGTCGCATGGTGGAAAATCTCCCTCTGATCTACAAGGGCTGCGACTGCATGTGGTGGTGAAGACCTGGGGCAGACTTTTGGCCAGGTTAACCTCGAGATTCCAGGGAACCACAATGGCTTAACTAGAAAATCTCCGAAAACTGATTATGCTGGAGCCCGCATAACCAGTGAGGACGGGCCGTTCAAGTATCAAGTTGAACTAATAGACAAAACTTCTCGATGTCTTGCTCTTTATCACCGCTCACAATCAGTTTTCAAATCATTCTAAATTGGAAACAGTACGCTACGGTAGTAGAGCCAAGAACAATTCAATATTGGTTGAAATATTCGTCCTGGGCATATATAGTATAGCAACACTACCAGGTTTTCAAGTATTTGCCGCTTTAAGTTGGGGTTCGAATCCAAAGCTCTCAGGAACTAGAGTGGAATTTTTATCACCTTTTGAATGAAAAACTCGACTGGATAAATAGTTCTTGAAAGATGGGTTAAGTAATCGCGAGATTCACTACTGTGGTCACAGAATAATCCACGTCATAAGGTAGGCAACTTCCTTCCTATAAAGAGCAACGGGCACTCCTAGCGCCGTTGTCTTGAAATTCTAGACGAAATCAGACCCGGCCAGTATTCAGTATTTCAGTGGAAGAAGATAGCAGCAAATTGCAGCCGAAACCAAATGCAAATGAAGCAATATTGTTGAACAACAAACTTGATACTCCAGTGGCGAGTGCAATCGCTGGTTTTCACCAATAGAATTGAAGTATTCTATCAAAGGCGTAGACAGAGCAACTGCCTAAAACCGTTCCTCTTAAAAACTGTCTGGTAACACTCCAGTTACCTTACCTTGGTAGCACATAACGGTACTGCACCTCCGGTTGATTGATCGATGATTACTTTGTTTAGAATCCGATCACCTTTTCGCAGTACTTCGCCATTTAAGAGCTGACAATCACATGGTACTAACTAAAACGTGCACAAATTCACACTAGAGAAACAACCGCTGCAATAAAAATGCAAAAATCATTCAACAAGACTTCCTTGTCTATGACACCAAAGAACTGTTCAGTGAGATAAAAACGTTCTAAGAGTTTATAAATTCTGTGCGTCTACGTCATATAAACGTAGATACAATCATGTTTCATTTAGCAAGAATATGATGCCACAAGTTTGAATCCCGTAACGGATCACCATCTGACCGTGGCTAGGCTAAATGGCGCGGTAGGGAGGTGTTCTTTCCAGGATGAGAAGTCTGATATCACCATCCAAACATAGAGGGCAAACTGCCCTTACCTAGCCTTTTTCCAAAAACACCTAAAAAAGGTCTGGATTGCTCGTACGCGTGATATCGATTAGTGTACTTTACCGGTGATGTTCCAAATGATATAGACATACATCTACCAATAACTTAGATTAGAATAAGTAGAATGTAGTAAGCTTGCACAAGTGAAAATTTAACGAATCGAAAAAATAAAAAATTAACCAAAATACTATTCTACTGCGAACTAATAGGTTCTAATTCATATAGAGAATTGCTCCAACATAGTGATAACATAACATGGATTTAAATGATAGGAAAGCGGGGGTACAGGTGTTCATTACTTTTTTCACGACATTGAGCAACACTTATTATGTGGAGGAACTGTTAACATTTTTGTTTTAACTTCCCCAAAATCTCTGATGAAAATAATAAATTGGTATTTAGTAGATAATCCACTGAAGCTTCATGACATAAAGGTTAAAAAACGCTCCCAGCGTAGGTCAATCTCTGACGGATGCGCCATGCATTCGACTTCACTAAGCATCGTTTGGAGGTGAATGAATGCATA